CGGTGCTGCCAGATGTAACCATCCTAAGACAGTCTCACCTAATTTTACTCTTCTGCCCCAGAAGCCAGCCGGGCTCCCGCTGCTTCCTCCTCGGCCTGGTTAGTTGCTGCCACTAACCAACCAACAGGCATTTCTGAACAAACGTCTGCATGTGCCCTGAACCGGGGGTGTGGGGTGTGTGTGTGTGTGTAAGCTCAAATCAGGGGAAATCTGTAAGGCAAACTTACTTCAATCATCCCTTTAAATATTGATCGAGTACTAACTCTTGGGACAACTCCTGGACGAGGCCCCGCGGGGAGCTCAGAGGCACGTCAGACACCTGACAGGAAGAGCAGGGTGTGACTGCCCTTCCAAGGCAGCTGGCTGTGCGTACAGGTGCCCTTAGGAGCCTGCCTGGCAGACAGAGGGCAAAGGTCCCCGGATCTCGTGTGCTATCATTGGCTGTGGGTCCCTGGAAAAGTATTTAACTGGTTGGGGTCTCATTTTCCTCACACAAAATGAAGGGAGCTGGTTAGGTTAAACATTCAAAAACCTCCTCTTGATTTCAGAGGTCAGAAAGAGGCTGACTGGTAGTGTGAGCCCGGCTCACAGGAGGGGGCGCTGCCTGAGCTGGGCGAAGGGGGTGGGTGAGAGCTTCCAGCGGTGCGTGGGGTGGGGGTGGACGTCAGGAGTGGGGCAAAAGCCATCCCGGCCGAGGGAGAGGAGTCTGGCTTCGGAAGCTGAGTTGCGGGGGCTCTCGAGGAGCCAACGTCCACCGGGCCGCTGGAAACCGGGGGCTCCTTGGAAGGGGGCACAGGAGGTTCACTGGAAACCAGGGGCTCCTTGGAAGGGGGCACAGGAGGTCAGGCACGGTGACCAGGGAGAGCAGCACAGGCCAGCCGACGCCAGGCAGGAGGAATGACCACCAGAAGGACGAGGTGGGCAACGCACAGCAGTCAGAGGGGACTGAGAAACAGCCGTGGCCTTTGCACCTGGGAAAGCACCGGTAACCCTTGTGGGGATGGCAGCTGGGAGAACGGAAGGTGGGGGGAGGGGGGCTGATAGGAGACAGGGGTACAGCACCTCCCTGGAGAAGTCTAACTTTGAAACAAACCAACTTACTGCCATAGACTTGGTTCCGACTCGTGGCGACCTTATAAAGCAGGGTAGAACTGCCGCTGTGGGTTTCTGAGACTGTAACTTTTTACGGGAGTAGAAAGCCTCATCTTTCTCCGGAGGAACTCGCCAGGTGGTTTCGAACTGCTGACCTTGTGGTGAGCGGCATCAGGTGTAATCCATTAGATGGTGGCTAGCGGAGGAGGCAGCTGGGTCTAAACAAGGAAGCTCTCTTAGGCTTACAGACGGGAAGAAGCTCGAAGAGAGGAGTTTACGTATTGGTAAGGCCCAACAACGTAACGAAGGCAGCTCCAACATGATTTACACATGGATTTGGACCCTTCAAATAGCGTCTGTCTGGGTGCTTGGACACCCCTGTTGTTGGTGACCCAAGACAGAGACACGCCTCCAGAGGGAGGTGTCCTACGCTTGACCCCGCACACTGGCACAGCTCTGTAGGGACCCTGCTGCAGGCCTTCTCTGGCACTTTCTCTTGGTGCTCACATACCTTGTTGTCCAGTCTGACTCTGGTTCAGCCAGTTGCTGGAAGGTGAAAAGAAGGGGTGACTAAGGTAAGGTGACCAGATTTTAACATTGGTGAAGCGGGACACCATTGATAAACTCATATCCTGGTGAAATAGCCACGTGGCAGCCGAAAACCGTATACCCTAGCTTATCGTGCGCTCTTTCCAAAAATCGGGACTTTTTAAAAACGCCGCAGGACGCGGGACAAATTGTTAAAAATCAGGACTGCCCTGCCAAAAGCAGGCCGTCTGGTCACCTTAGACTAAGGAGGAGAGAGAGAAGAGGAGAGAGTAACGGGGAAGGAAAATGAGGATGCCCATAGACCCTCAGTGACCTTGACTGGCTGGTGAAGCTGAGGGAAAGCCATCTGTTAAGTGGGAGCAGAGGCTGAGCAGAGGGAAAGGGCTTGGGAAGAGATGCTGTGTGGGGTGCTTTAGTTCAGCAGTTCTCCATCAGCTGGGAGTCGGATATCTAGGCTGCCCCACCAGAGATACGGATTCAGCACCACGGGTCTGAGTCACAAACAGGCATCTGGGTACTTAACAGTAGCTCTAATTCAGAGGGTCGGTGGGCCCATTTTCGGAAGCATGGCCAAAGGAAGCTGCTAGCAGGTGAAAGGAAGCTGTAGGGCATCTGGGAGCAGCAAAGACCTATGGGAGACAGGCAGTCTGATGGAGGGCTATGCACTCCTTAATCTCTCCATAGCACCTCTCTCCTCACCAACTTCCTTCTCCAGCACATCACTCCTGCCATCTATTGTATGGCTGTGCGGCCCATCCT